ATATATACACACACACACACACACACACACATATATACACAAAGTCGCTTTGGGTAAAAGCGTCTGCTAAATGCATAAATTAATTATAAAAAAATATACATATACATACATACATTATATCTATATATATATATATATACACACACACACACACACATACCTTGACACAGTTGGATTATGGCTAAATAAATATCCAATTGTATAATTTCGAAGCATAAAATCAAAGCAGGTTGCAGCTTAGAACAATTCAGCCATCTATTGGCCATTATTGTCATAACATGATTTTGACCTGATAAAAGACATTTTTCTTTCTTATGGCAGCAATCCGGCACAAATGCATCCTATTCTCCTGCTGTTTCAACTTACAGAAGTGTGGTTTTTACTGCAGTGAAGCTCCAAAGGTTTTTGCATTTGCTTATACAAATGATGATAATGAACTTGAGAAGTTTACACAAATGTGATCTAAATAATAAAAGAATATTTTGACATTTAACAGCTTAGGGGGAGTAAATAAGGTGCATACTTTTATTGTTACTACTTCAGTGGAGTTAGTATTATATATTTTTAGTATTTATATTAGTTCCTGGGCTCAGAAATGAATCTCGACACATTTTGAGAGACTCACTCTTGTGGTTTGAGTAATGTGTCACAATAAAAAGCAAATCGGGTGACTCACGGTAGAGGGTGGATTGAGGCCTGATGCCGTGCCCTTCCACAGCAGCATCGAGAGGTTTGCCGGGCAAACGGTTCTCACCGGCGTGCCTTCCTCAGACATCACGACCACAGTAAACACTACAGACACCAGAAAATAAGATATGCACTCTATTCTATACTAATATTACAATATAATATAGGCCTGTACTATGCTTTTATGCTTCCACACACACCTGGGAAAATGTCCCCTGCACATAAGGTGGCAGCGCTGTCATATTCGATAGAGAGTTCAACGGGTTTATTGGGATCAGGAATCACATTTAGTTTTACTACAGGCCCAGGAATCCCGTTCCTGCTAAAAGACCCCCGAAACTCCAGCTGATGCTCCCCTCTACAAAAGAAAGAGAAATTGAGAGAAAGAGACATAGATAATGAAAGACAGTGTTTTTGTTAAGAATCATATCTGATACATCAGGCTCTTATGGCTCATGTATTGATATAGTGAGAATATGGCGGGAAAAAAACCTTTTACTCAGAGGGTGAAACTGAGCAAAAAATTTGACCCTGGAGCACAAAACCAGTCTTAAGTCGCTGGGGTATATTTGTAGCAATAGCCAAAAATACATTGTAACGGTCAAAATTATCGATTTTTCTTTTATGCCAAAAATCATTAGGATAGTAAGTAAAGATCATGTTCCATAAAGACATTTTGTAAATTTCCTACCGTAAATAGATCAATTGATTAGTTATATGCATTGCTAAGAACTTCATTTGGACAACTTTAAAGGCGATTTTCTCAATATTTAGATTTTTTTGCACCCTCAGATTCCAGATTTTCTTAAAAATAAGAAGCTTATTTATTCAGCTTTCAGATGATGTATAAATCTCAATTTCGAAAAATTTACGCTTATGACTGGTTTTGGGGTCCAGGGTCACAAATGTGCAATTTGGTGCAGATGCTGATATTTATTGCTAAAACGTCAGATGAAATTCTGAAAGCTTGTGATGTAAACCAATAAGATCTTTATAACAGACTACTTACATAAAATTATATAAATATCAGTCGTCATATCTCCAAATAATATGTCTTAGTAAGACCTGTTATGATATTTGCTTAGTTTTATGATCAAAGCTCTGTAGTTTCAAAATATATAATGCAATGCAATACAATGATGATTAAAGGAGATGAACTAATAAACATTCCTCAAAAGCCTGATGATCGTATTTGATACTCACATTTGAACGTGATTTTTCTAAAAATGATTCCTTGATAATTAAGTAAACCTAAGTTGTTTCAGTCCAGTAAGTGTTCATCTTGAAATATTAATAACAATATCAAAGTTATTTACTTTATAAAAATTAGGGATGCACCAAAATGAAAATTCTGGGTGCACTTGGCTGAAAAAACGAAAATGATTTTTAATAGTTTTTTTATTATTTTGTTAAATAATATTAAATAAATTTTGTTAGAATAACTCAATAATTTTAAAGATACTGAATTAAAAAATTACAAGCCAATAAAATAACCACACTTTAATTGAAAGTCAAACAATAAAATTGGACAGAAAATGTATTAATATTGATCTAAAATATCAATCTAATATTATTATTGTGCGCTGAATACTGCTGAACGGTGTGGCATGCCATATATTTTCGGCCCCTTTTCTCTTTCGCCAAAAAAAGAAAATGCCATTTGCGGAAATTGCGGCCGATAATTTCGGTACATCCCTACTTTCTAGCTTTTTCTTAAATTGTCTTTTTTTTTTTTTTTTTTTTACTTTGATAAAACGGTTAATAGTTTACTTCCGTTCATCAGCAGCTCTTGCTTAAAGTCAATATTTCTTAATATCTCAGAAAATGTATCACCCATTAAAAAACAATAAGCACTTAAACAGCCAGAGATTGTACACACAAATGGACGAACGCATCTTCTGTGAACTGTGACTCTTCTGTGATCTCATTAGTCAAGCTTGTAATGGTGCAGATGCTGATATTTATTGCTAAAACGTCAGATGAAATTCTGAAAGCTTGTGATGTAAACCAATAAGATCTTTATAACAGACTACTTACATAAAATTATATAAATATCAGTCGTCATATCTCCAAATAATATGTCTTAGTAAGACCTGTTATGATATTTGCTTAGTTTTATGATCAAAGCTCTGTAGTTTCAAAATATATAATGCAATGCAATACAATGATGATTAAAGGAGATGAACTAATAAACATTCCTCAAAAGCCTGATGATCGTATTTGATACTCACATTTGAACGTGATTTTTCTAAAAATGATTCCTTGATAATTAAGTAAACCTAAGTTGTTTCAGTCCAGTAAGTGTTCATCTTGAAATATTAATAACAATATCAAAGTTATTTACTTCATCAAAATTAGGGATGCACCAAAATGAAAATTCTGGGCCGGAAATTCTGGATGCACTTGGCTGAAAAAACGAAAATGATTTTTAATAGTTTTTTTTATTATTTTGTTAAATAATATTAAATAAATTTTGTTAGAATAACTCAATAATTTTAAAGATACTGAATTAAAAAATTACAAGCCAATAAAATAACCACACTTTAATTGAAAGTCAAACAATAAAATTGGACAGAAAATATATTAATAATACATATCAATATATTATTTTCATTCAGTTCTATGCAACATAATCAGATATAACTTTTTTTTTTACTTTGACTTACATATGCTAGCGACATGCTAGTAACTTGTTAATCATGCTAGCGACATGCTAGTCACTTGCTAATCATGTTAACAAAATGCTAGTAGCATGCTAACCATGCTAGAAACATGCTAGCAACATGAATGAATGAATGATGCATTTATATAGCGCTTTATTGTGTATTGTTGTACACCCAAAGCGCTTTCCAATCATGTGGGGGGGGCAAGTTACTAGCATGTTTCTCGCATGATTAGCATGCTACTAGCATGTTGGCCCAAAACATGCTAGTAATTTGCTAATCATGCTAGCAACATGCTAGTCACTTGCTAATCATGCTAGCAACATGCTAGTCACTTGCTAGGCATGTTAACAACATGCTAGTCACTTGCTAATCATACTAGCAACATGATAGCAACATGCTAGTCACTTGCAAATCATGCTAGCAACATGCTAGTAACTGGCTAATCATGTTAGCAACATCCTGTAAACATGCTAACGACATGCAACTCATTTGCTAATCATGCTAGTCACTTGCTAATCATTGCTAGCAACATGCTAGTAACTTGTTAATCATGCTAGCGACATGCTAGTCATGCTAGCAACATGCTAATCATATGCTAATCGTGCTTCAAACATGCTAACAACATGCTAGTAACTTGCTAATCATGCCAGCAATATGCTACTAACAGGCTAATCATGTTAAAAGCATGCTAATCATGCTAGAATCATGTTATCAACATCTATCTAATCTATCTAAATTTTCAAACTTTTACAACTGCTTTAAACTTTCAGGCTAGGCTTTCTCAAGCCAACCTAAAGTTTGTCTTGACGAACTTTTTTATCTAGTTATCCAAATAATGTATAGTCCTACAAAGCTATTATTATCAGAGCATATGAGCAGAGCATTGCGTCACGAGAGGGGAGCGTCATTTTACCAGCGTTGCCATGCTACAGCAGCTCTACTGCAAACAGGAACAAGTATACGTCATAGAAATTTCCTGTCTGCGCGTTATTTGAGCGGACTTTGCTTTGCCATATATTTTCGGACATTTTTCTCTTTCGGCCAAAAACCGAAAATGCCTTTTTTTTTTGGCCAATAGTTTTCGTTGGCCCGAAATTTCAGTGCATCCCTAATAAAAATCAGTAAAGACATCACACAAAAAAAATACGTGAAGCACGGGCTGAAAGTGGACATTTGTACAATTATACTAAAAGGACTTTTACTTTATAAAAGCATCAATCAGACGACAGAAGGCATGACAGTAGATTGTGTGCAACAGGTTTATCAGCTGCACCATTTAGAGGCCTTAGAAATTTGTGAATCAAAGACAATACAGTAGGCTTTAAAGGGTTAAGTCTGTACTTACTTTGGACCACTTATAGCTTCTAATATGAAGTAAGCTTTTCCTTCTGAATCTACAGACAGAGATGATACCGAGGACTTTATCTAAAAGAGAAAAACAAAAAACGATTAATAATAGCAATACTTCAGTTGAACCATAGGATATTAGTTCTTAAGTAAAATGGAAAAAACAAAAATGAAATGTTTAGATTTACAGAACACACAATAGGAACTCAGTTTTATGGAATTTTAAATCCCAATTGCAATCTTTTTCCCATGTGAAGCCATGATGCAGACGAGCACAACTAGGAAATATGTTTCATTTTCATGCAATTATTTGTTTTTGATTGTTCATAATAGTTAAACACTCTACTTGTCAACTTTGTAATAATTTGATTATTGAGAAGCGATCAAATTTCAAATCTTATGACATTTTAGTGACTTTGCACATGGTTGTTCTCACTTATGTTGTATAGTGTACTTTTCAAGTACAGTCTTAACCTACCTATATTCAAGTGTTGATAAAAAAAGAATGCTTTAAGCTAGAATAAAACTGATTATTCTTTTTTTTATAAACTTTTTTTTGTTTAAAAGTAGAGGCTCTGATCTTTATTTTGGTGTATTGCATATTCAAATATTCATACAGCAAAATATACAGGAAGCCATCAAATTTTAGCGAAAATCATCAAAATCGTTGGCGATGGCTGGCAACTTTATTAAAAAATGCTGGCGGAGAAAGAGTTAAATCAGTAATTGTTTTTCCCAAAATTCCTTGTTTTCAGTTTTAATTTTTTCTAGATTCCATTTTGATTCCATTTTAGTCATTAAAAAACATGTCTAATTAATTGACATCACAAAACTTATACTATTAAACAACAATTTATTAAATAAATTAACAAAAAATAAATTTTTAGGGAACTATGAAATGTGGTTTTCCCCCCCAATTTTTTTTTATTTTCCCCAAATTCTGTTTTATTTTTCCCAAATTCCTTCCTAAAATGTCTTCCATTTTAATTGTTCTCAATTCTGTTTTTATTATTTAATTTAATTTTAATAATCCAAAGCCCATGTCTATTTAACTGAATTCATAAACCTTAAAACAATTTCATAATTTAAGATGTTTACAATAAAAAGGCCCTATTAAATATTTTATCTGAAAATTCTGTGTTGTCTGTTTTACTTGTTCTTTCTAGATTTATGATTTAATAACAAATTTATAATCAAATTCAGTGGTAGTAAAATATTGTTTTGCTCCGTGTACTTTCATCGTAACACCTTTAACCTTATTATTTATTATTCTCAGGTTAAGTAAAGTAAGTTGAGTCTGTCCTAAATTATAAGCATTTTAAATTACTTACACCTTGGTCAGAAGACTTCTCAGTGATATGTTCCTATTCAAAGTCTTAAAACACTGTAAATCAAGCCTTGGTAGGCAGTTTTTGCAATCAATTAAATTTCTTTCAAATGGTTACATTTCTTTTTAAAATAAACAAAAATGTAAGTAAGGAATAATTCAAAATCGTTTAATTTATCCATTTTATACCATGCTCATTTGCCAGCACTGACAAGGTAAAGCTGTTAATGATGCTTGCAGCACAATATTTGGCGTAAAAATGACCAGTCTGTTACGATTTCTACCATTCCGATCTCAATGACAGGGTTGCCAGATCTGCGTAACAAACCCGAGAAGTGTATAGCTGCAGCCTGGAGACCTCCAAATGAGATCGGTAGTCAACGGTAGACAATGGTCAGCTGTGTGTTTCTTGTCTTCAGCTGTGCGTTTCTCATCCTCAGCTGTGGGCTTCCAGAAGTCGGGGGGAATGATGATATGAATATCCGAAACAGAAATGCACTTGTCAGACTTGAATACTCCTATTGTTTATCACAGAGGTAAGGTCATCTTCTTGGCATAAGCTGCAATTTCCCTAAAACTTCCAGGATCCTCCCAGGTGCAAGCATCGCCTCCTCACGTCCTTCAACTCCAGTAAACTCAACCAAGAAGTCCTTTAAAGGTTCTTGCAGCAAAACCACAGCTCTTCGTGGCCTTGGACGCACACACATAAATGCATATACTTCTGTGTACTGATATAGTCACAGAGTCTGCTCCTCCATCTCACCGGTAGCACACACATACATAACTAAGGCTTACTGGACACTACTGCCCATACATTATAAGGCATTCTTGGAAACAAAAATAAATAATATTGTAAGCACAGTTTTTTTTCTTTTAAATCAGTGTAGAATTTCTATACCTCTGTGTGTGGAACTGATAATCACTCTTTAACAATCTACTAAATACAGACTACTTCATTATAATAAAGCAATAAGCCCCAAGAAGCCGTGGTTTACAGTGAATTTATAACAGCTAAGGGGCGTTGTTAGGCACGACACGAAGCTGTTTTTAGTTAGCTGTTATAAATTCAGTGTAAACCACGGCTTCAGGGGGCTTATTGCTTTTATAAAACGGTTATTCCATATACGTAGTAAGGTTTCACAAAATAAAACAGAGCAAATAAAGTGTAATGATATTAATAAAAACAGTATTCTTCCACTAAACAAAGAAAAATAACAAATGTAAAAAAACAAACAAAAAAAAATCAGCTTTTTAAGGAGGCAACAACATGATAGATAGGACAGAACAAGTATTATAATATGAAAAGCTCCAATACTGAGCAGCACAGAGCGCTTATGCCCATCCAGTGCACAGAATGAACAAATAATAGATTAACGAGACCAAAGACTGCCCGTTAGAATTACCCAAAACGAATTATATCTCATGTTTAGCCACTACAGAGACATCAGAGTCAGTGGCAAATTCCAGAAGATCTGGCCGAGGTGAGGCTGCTCTCGGCTCAATCTCCGAAAACGCCGAAGCAAATTTTCAAATAGACGTTATCTTTATTAACAAACCGCATATTTGAAGTCTAAACAAGTAAATTCTCACCTAAAAAAAACCTCTTAAAACTACATTCCATGACAAAAACAGTATTATTTATAAAAATTATAGTGGATTCGGTCGTCGGCCATAACGCTCGCTGTGAGAAATACGAGTGATGCAAACGGCGAAACGGTTCCCATGGAGGTGAATCTCATTGTTTTAAAGACCTCTCAGCCAGTCAGACTCGAGAACCAGAAAGAACTGTTGTGTAAATATATTCATACAATGTTCTGACTGAAAACTCGCTCCTGATTGGTTGGAAGGTGTGCATTAAAACCGTATAATGCACAGGTAGTTCCAAGTCAGTTTAATCACCGTTCTATATTAGTGCACACACACAGAGACCGCAGATCGCGCTGCGCACGCACAGAAACATACAGGAGCACAGAAACTTGTTGTCAACGCTGCCCTGTGACTTTTATCAATAAAATAGCTTAGATAGCTACAATACATTTCTCAGCAACGAGGAGGTAAAATCATTGTTTTTGAAGTAACCAAACAGCTTCATTGTTTGTAGAGACGTTCAGACGCAGGTAATTCACACATAAAACGTTCATCTCTCTAATTCAGTGGTTCTCAATTCCAGTCCTCGCACTCTGTAAATTTTGTATGTTTCTCTTATCATTTCAGACGTTTGTTCGATTCGACCGCAAGTGCCCTGCGAAGTGGAAATCAGAGGATATTCTGCTATGATTCCAGTTGGAAGGGAGCGTATATGTTCCATTCAAATGGCATTAAAGTGTGCGAGATGTGAATTTAAATTGTATTTATTTACAGAGGACACACTTCTCTAGTAAGTTTCGTCTGTGTGTGAAGACAGTGGCGTAGCACAAATCTGTGAATGAATGTTCTGTAGTGAAGTAAACAGAATATCAGATTTGGATCAGTCTTGTCTGACCGATACCCGATCCGGCAAAGAATGGCAGTATCGGAGCCGATACCGACATGAGTATCGGATCAGCACATCCCTATCAAAAACTGCTCGTCTGTTTGTGTCTGCGGATGTGTATACAGTACCTGCCATTCAGTGGCCAGAGCTGATTTATCCAGACCATCAGCAGACACGCTCATAGTCTTCACAATTTCAGCATTCAGACAGTCTGTTTTATTCCCATACTGATCTACAACTTCTACATCTGAAAGAGAAATACAAGTTCAACAATGAATGTTCTTTACAAACACCAAACTGGTGAGTGATCTGCAAATGGAGCACCTGTGAAGCGACACAATCAGTTTCAACAGAAATTACACAATGAAATTACATATAAAGAAAACTGGGAATTTTGTAATCACGACTGATTTGAAGTAAAACCCAATTATGACCAATATTCCTTCTAATTGTTTTTCTTGCTGAGCAAAACTTTTCTCTACTGGGCGCACATTTCGGCCACCTGAGCAAAAACATTCTTTATACCAGACCTCTACAGTTATAAAATAAGAAAAAGAAGCAAATTACAAACACAATAGAACAAATAAATATTAAATTGTGTAGTAGATATGAAAAAATAAATATGAAAAAAAGTGTAGAAATAAAACACTGCACAGTCTTCACTATATCATTCAAACATGAACTGATTCTTATTAAAGATCCAAAAGTGATTCAGTCAAGTGCAGTGAGTGATTAACATTAATAATGATAGACAGCACCAGGTAAATAAGGCTGCTGTCCCTTTAAGACCGACTGCACGGATCCAATATACGGACACACATCCGGTTTTACATTTATTTAACACATAACCGACTGTGTTTACATGAATACTCCAAACGACGGGCATTTTGACAATTGTGTGCGTATTTGACCATTCAAGCACAAAAGAGATCTGTTTTCGCGATCACATGCTGTCTGATAGAGGCGCTTTCTGAGTGCGTGTCAGTCAGCGCGAGCAACAGATTGAGTTCTTCTTCACTGCTTATTGCACTTAATAACTCTACCAAGTGCGTCCCACTCTTTATTTTCTCATTCATGCATGTTTATCACTCAAAGGTGTATATAACTTTTAAGCAGTACTGTGTTCCGCAGATATATTTGCAAACCAAGGAAAACACGGTATAGCAAAATCTCTAACGATAGACACTTCATTCTGCGGTATCGATATATACGGTCATACCGCCCAGCCCTAGCACACACACAAAAAAAGTGTGTAACTTTTCACTTTAATGTGCTATTTATATTTTATTTGACCCTTGATGTAACTAAATGATGCACATTTCAGGTTACCTGAGAAAACATTTGTTACCAAAAAAATCTATTAAAAATCATTTTTAAAAATGTCACGCAGAACAGTTCAATTCTTTATAATAATATAATATAATAATATAGCTAATATGAAAAAATTAAGCAGTTATTGAGGTCAATTATTTATTAGGCTTATAATATAATTTCAAAACATTTTCAAAAAACATGAACATGTGAATTCTTTTACAGTTATCTAAAACATCCCCATATTTGCGCACTACTACACCTGTGTGTACCTGTAAATGTCTTGGGGCCAGTTTTACTAAACAGGGCAAAATAACATGGCTTGGAAACGATATGTTCGGATAATGTGTTCTTTCCAAATAAATTAATACGTGTGGAAAACTCCTAGAAATGCATATTCAATAAGGTCAGGCGCAAAAATAACTGTCCACGCCTTTTCAGTGCTAATTCATCACTGCGCATCTTTAGTAAATCCTGACAGTATTATTTTAACGCCAAAAGACGGAATGGCATTAAAGTGTGTGAGATGTGAATTTAAATTGTATTTATTTACAGAGGACACACTTCTCTAGTAAGTTTCGTCTGTGTGTGAAGACAGTGGCGTAGCACAAATCTGTGAATGAATGTTCTGTAGTGAAGTAAACAGAATATCAGATTTGGATCAGTCTTGTCTGACCGATACCCGATCCGGCAAAGAATGGCAGTATCGGAGCCGATACCGACATGAGTATCGGATCAGCACATCCCTATCAAAAACTGCTCGTCTGTTTGTGTCTGCGGATGTGTATACAGTACCTGCCATTCAGTGGCCAGAGCTGATTTATCCAGACCATCAGCAGACACGCTCATAGTCTTCACAATTTCAGCATTCAGACAGTCTGTTTTATTCCCATACTGATCTACAACTTCTACATCTGAAAGAGAAATACAAGTTCAACAATGAATGTTCTTTACAAACACCAAACTGGTGAGTGATCTGCAAATGGAGCACCTGTGAAGCGACACAATCAGTTTCAACAGAAATTACACAATGAAATTACATATAAAGAAAACTGGGAATTTTGTAATCACGACTGATTTGAAGTAAAACCCAATTATGACCAATATTCCTTCTAATTGTTTTTCTTGCTGAGCAAAACTTTTCTCTACTGGGCGCACATTTCGGCCACCTGAGCAAAAACATTCTTTATACCAGACCTCTACAGTTATAAAATAAGAAAAAGAAGCAAATTACAAACACAATAGAACAAATAAATATTAAATTGTGTAGTAGATATGAAAAAATAAATATGAAAAAAAGTGTAGAAATAAAACACTGCACAGTCTTCACTATATCATTCAAACATGAACTGATTCTTATTAAAGATCCAAAAGTGATTCAGTCAAGTGCAGTGAGTGATTAACATTAATAATGATAGACAGCACCAGGTAAATAAGGCTGCTGTCCCTTTAAGACCGACTGCACGGATCCAATATACGGACACACATCCGGTTTTACATTTATTTAACACATAACCGACTGTGTTTACATGAATACTCCAAACGACGGGCATTTTGACAATTGTGTGCGTATTTGACCATTCAAGCACAAAAGAGATCTGTTTTCGCGATCACATGCTGTCTGATAGAGGCGCTTTCTGAGTGCGTGTCAGTCAGCGCGAGCAACAGATTGAGTTCTTCTTCACTGCTTATTGCACTTAATAACTCTACCAAGTGCGTCCCACTCTTTATTTTCTCATTCATGCATGTTTATCACTCAAAGGTGTATATAACTTTTAAGCAGTACTGTGTTCCGCAGATATATTTGCAAACCAAGGAAAACACGGTATAGCAAAATCTCTAACGATAGACACTTCATTCTGCGGTATCGATATATACGGTCATACCGCCCAGCCCTAGCACACACACAAAAAAAGTGTGTAACTTTTCACTTTAATGTGCTATTTATATTTTATTTGACCCTTGATGTAACTAAATGATACAAATTTTAGGTTACCTGAGAAAACATTTTTACAGTGCTGTGTTACTTATCAAATTCTATATATATTTTTTTTAAATCATTTTAAGAAAATCTCACGCAGAACAGTTCAATTCTTTATTATATTATATTACGTTATATATTATATTATATTGGTAACACTTTACAATAAAGTGTAATTTGTTAACATTACCTAATGTATTAACTAACATGAACTAACAATGAACAATACATATGTTACAGTATTTATTCATCTTTGTTAATGTTAGTTAATGAAAATACAGTTATTCATTGTTAGTTCATGTTAATTCACAGTGCATGAACTAATGTTAACAAATACATCTTTTGACTTTCATAATGTATTAGTAAATGTTGGAATTAACGAACTCAAATGCTGTAGAAGTATTGTTCATGCTTAGTTCATGTTAACTAATACAGTTAAATACTATTAATTAATGATTGTAAAGTGTTACCATTATATTATATTATATTATAATATGAAAAAATGAAGTAGTTATTTCTCATGAATTCCCTTTTTGAGGTCAATTATTTATTAGGCTTTAATATAATATAATAGAATAGAATATACAAATATTTTTAATATATATAATATAATATAGTATAGTATAATATATAATATAATATACAAATATTTTCAATAAATATATATAATAAAATGTAATAGTATAATATAATATATTATAATATAATATAATATATAATATACAAATATTTTCAATAAATATATTATAATATAATATAATATAGTATAATATAATATATAATATAATATACAAATATTTTCAATAAATATTTTAAACGTGAACATATGAATACTATATAGTTATCTAAACATACGCATGCAGTAGAGTTTACACACTACTACACCTGTGTGTAACTGTAAATGTTTTGTTACCGTTCTGTGCCAATCTGATTTGGCACACACCATTCTCTTTCTATGAAACCTCATTAAAACGCATTCACCGGTTCTAACTCAATAGCGGTTGGTCCGAGCATTGCAATTATTTCACATTTACCCAATGGTACTAGAATTCAATCAATGGCTTTCCCAGCTCATTTTTGCGTCTGTCCTGTGCGCAGCATATTATTTCTTCTGAGTGACCGCGGCGTAAGAAGTGTGCGTGCTTAGAAGGAGCATTGATTATGACGTACCTAAAGATGGTACTTACGTATATTTCCTGACAGAATTTCTCCCATTTTCACAGTCGACTCGCTGAGGTTGACCCGCAAGCGCTCAGGCTCATCTGGACGAGGCCTTTACAGACACACAAACAAACAGAGATATGCTTTTGTTTAGGCATATAACGGAAGACAGACATACACATGATCTGTGTGTAACTTACACAATGATGAAGGAAAAGTTGACCGTGTGCTGGTCGTGGAAAGACACAAGGTAGAAATGCTCTCTCTGTGCTTGAGATGGGACACTTAAAGCTGGCAGTTTTCCCTGAGAAAGCTCTTCTGCGTTTATATCTGCTGTCCAATTCACCTACAAGAAACACACAAATACACAAATTATTTCCATACTGTGCACGAAATACAGTGCAGCTTGAAAGTTTGTGAACCCTTTAGAATTTTCTATATTTCTGCATAAATTACCCAAAACATCATCAGAAGTCTTTCAGGACTTGTGTGAAAATCTGCATCATTAAATCTTTCATTTTGTTGTGACCATTTTTGGGGGCAACGGAGTATGACAGTGTGTCAGTGCAAACAGATTCAGTCACTAAAAATAAACCTGAATGACACACTATGCAAAGAAAATGAATCACACACAGTCAAACTCTCACCTTAATCTTGGTGGTGAGTTTCGGCCGAAGGGAAACCAGTCTATTGCCCTCATCATACAGTCTGAAGCGCAGGTTTCCTAGCGTGTCTCCTGCCGTCCAATCAATGCGCTCGGCGTTTTGCAGCACCATGACATCCTCAGAGCCCTCTTCCTGTCTGTAGACCTCCAAACGGGATATTCGTGAGCTGGGCAAGACGCGCAGCTTACGTTCCACGCACGCCACTGTCCTGTGGTTCTACGACCACATAAAAACATGCAAAAATGCACTTAATCATGAGGAAATCAAGTCAAACAGCTAAACCAGTTTATATACTTTACTACTATGAAAGATTCACTAACATCTTCACTCTGAGTTATACAGCATGTATATTTCATTCATGAGGCCAAAAATTTTAAAAAAGGAAAGATATGAACAGAAGAATTGTTCATTTATAAAATAGATATGCTGAATTTTACTCTGAGTGGCTTTATACAAACAGTCCATGATGCAGATTATCTAGATTTTATACACACACTTTGATAGCAAAGGAAACAAACAAAAAAAACTGTTCTGAACAATAATTGAACCCTTATCCTGAACATACACTCTCACATAATTTTGAAATTGACACAATGAAGAGCTGGCAAACATTATTGTGGCCAACAAAATAGTTTATCACTACAAATCTAACACTGAAATTTAAATTTAAAGTAGAAAAGACAGATCACTTATTAATAAGTAGTTTTTTTTATATATATTGAAAAAAGGTCTGGTTTTATTTGCTTCCAATTTCATCCAAATCGGACATTACTGATAAAACGCTGACGGCAAATGGTGATAAAGTCACAAATATAATGTGCATCCATATTAAATATGTATTTTTTCATTTAATGTGTATCTGGATTAAATGCACATGAAGCAACATGCTTCTGAATATTAAAAGCACACATATATTTCCAGGATGGCTATAAATAAACTGATTAAAAAAAAGGAGCAAATGATGTACAATATCTTACAGGAATGTTGAACTTAGCAGTAAGGATCTGCTCAGCGTTTACAGTCTTCAGCAGAAGTGGTTTGGTCAGCAGGAGTCCAGAGCCGGTGTTACTGCAGTCCACAACATCCACGGGCAGATCAGGGGCTCCCAGCAACTACAAACACGCATTTACCAATCAGAAGGTGAACTGTACTCCTGTGCCATTCAATGGAAGGTCTTTCATAGGATTAACCTGACAAAAGTTAAATTAAATAAGCTTTTTCCAAGCAGAGATGAAACATGCAATGGGTGAAACATGCAACTGGTCAACTATTAACATAACAATAATAATAAATAATGCCAACTTTAATAGATATGTAATATGCATGTATTTATCAACATGCTCCTCTCTAGTTATTTGTTATAGCTGACTTTTGAGTTTATGGACACTGGCTTTCCTGAGGTAAATGCACGTCTTTTGTATTGTTTGGCGTCTTTCTGTGGTGGAAACACTGATTGAGTGATGACATGTTCATTCATGTTTATTTCGTGCTATAACTAGTAGTAAAGAGGAAAAGACGATGGGTTCATGTGTCGATCCAGAACTGATGTGGATACAGCGATCTGTCACATGACATTAAAGAGTGTCAAAACCACATTTATTGTTCGTATTACATGCTAAAATTTACAGAAAGTTAAGACTTTATTTCATATTAAAAGTAACAAAGCTTATTGCAATTATTGGATGGCAGGTGCTACAAATAAAGTTTAGTGATGTTCACACATCAACAGAGATTTAATAATCAATATCAATACTGATTAAAAATTAGAAATCGATATTGTTGATCTAGCACTAGCGTCCATGCAGCTGACATGTTCACCTCTTGTAGTTTATCGATGTTGTGTGCATGAAATAGACACTGACAAGGTCAGAGAAACATCAATGAAACATCACTGTTCAGTCGCCATAATTTTGGTGCATCACTAATTAGCACAGTGCATAAAAATTATTATTATACATTTATCTTACTTTTGCAGTAATTTTATCAAGGAAAATTATATCGAGATAATTTAATACCCAGCCCTAGAGACTATATACTTATTTTTAATTTGATAGCATTTGATTTGATAATCGCACTAAGATATATCACGATTTCAGTTTTATTTCAATCGATTGTGCAACCGCATTTATTTATTTTCATTTTAAATTCAATTTAATTACTTTTCATCCACTCATGAACCCTCATTTAGGAAACCCTAGGTTAATATATATATATTTTAATTATCTCTCTATAAAAACAAAACTCTATGTCCCAAATTACACAGGTCAATATGAGTGTTGAGTAGATGTTTGTGCATTCACCATATGTGACCCTGGACCACAAAACCAGTTTTAAGTGTAAATTTTTCGAAATTGAGATTTATACATCACCGAAAGCTGCATAAATAAGCTTTCCATTGATGTATGTTAGGATAGGACAATATTTGGCTGAGATACAACTATTTGAAAATCTGGAATCTGAGGGAGCAAAAAAAATCTAAATACTGAGAAAATTTAAAGTTGTCCAAATGAAGTCTTTAGCAATGCATATTACTAATCAAAAATTAAGTCTTGATATATTTACGGTAGGAAATTTACAAAATATCTTCATGGAACATGATCTTTACTTACTATCTTAATGATTTTTGGTATAAAATAAAAATAGATAATTTTGACCCATACAATGTATTTTTGGCTATTGCTAGAAATATACCCCAGCGACTTAAGACTGGTTTTGTGCTCCAGGGTCACATATGAATAAAACTGCTAAATGACTAAAATTCAGTAAGTGTGTGGTGTGTGTTTTTCGATGAGAGCTACCTGGCAGCGGACGCTGAGTTTAGGATGAGTGGTGATATTCTGGTACTCATCGTGAATCTCAACTCTGAAGTTTGCTGGAGTTCGATTCTCAACAGAGAGCACATCACCGTCTGGAAACACCACAAGAGTGTGCGGAGGGCCTGGAAGATAAATGTCATCTGGTTTTTACATGCTGCTTTTACATTTCCTCTTTCTATTGCAGTCTCTGTGTTCTCTGTCATACCAGGTTGCAGAACAATTTGAAGAGACTGGCTGTCCTGCTTCAGCCCGGGGATGTGCACCTTCACTGTGTACATCTGTTAAAAATATCACACACATCCAAGTTTTGTGCTAACAGTGTCAATGCAAACATAAAAACCCCTTCATATCATTCTCATTATACAGTATATGTTGGTTACACAATCACATACACCATATCAAATACATTCCTGACCACAGATTTCAGAAAACACTTTCTCTCTTGATTAACATACAGAGATACCTTCTTATTGATTCTTATTGTGCTTATCTTCTTATTGTTTATGCTTTGATTAATTAAAACACTCCAGTTATTACTGGTTAACTCAATGCTTGAGAATCATGACCAACTGTGATTATTGTGAAACTATTTCCAAAGTGATAACATTATTATTAATTAACACAATGCTAACCTTGTTTTGATGATTGATCTTTCCCTTGGCCCTCACATTTTTGATGACACAAGTGGTGCCAAATATGATCCCCTCATAACTCAGCTCTAGTGAACTAATGAGAAAGATTTTACCATCAGAAAAACACACGAAAATGTAATTTCCAAGACAGAAACTCACATTAACACACATATGAAGTGAGGACATTATGCAATATGATTTCAATGTCACATGATTCTCTGCCAGTAAAAGGATTACAAACAAAACCACAACAGAATTAATCACTGCACATCTAAACAAAATGCAGTAGCACCATTCCTGTTTATTAAAGAACTGGTTGAGTGAATAATTCAGTGACTCACACATAAAGACAGTCACTTAAAAGATCTTCATAAGCTCTCAAATCAATTCAATATTGATTCAGGTACATTGTTTCTGCAGGTTTTATGAAGGAAAATCTAAAGCTTTTTAGGAACAAGTAATCAAAATTTAAGGAATAAACTGAATGGAACAATACGACAATATGGTCTCTAAATTTAAATGTCTCGTATCAGCAAGTGTAAAAGTGTTGCATTACTTTCAGATCACACTGCACCAGTGATGTTCTTCTGCAGTATTTTGGTCTTGTTTTCTAGTGCAAATGTCTGAAGATTCTTAAATCAAGATGCATTTACTTGAGAAGGAAAATGACTTAAGTTTTGTGTTCTGATTGTTATTTTGTTTTAAGAATTCTGTTTTCTCACTTATTTATTTTATTTTAAAGGGGTCATATGATGTTGCTAAAAAGAACATTACTTTGTGTATTTGGTGTAATGAAATGTGTTTATGTTGTTTAAGATGCACCAAGAGCTTGTAACACTCCAAAGAGAAAGGGAAAATTTTTAGATTTTTAGATTTAGACCCCTTTAAGATTTGCTATTGTATTCATAGTTTGTTGGTTTGTTTTTGGATTTTGTTTTCAGACTTGTCATCTGTTTTGCACATAGTGTCCCAATGCTTAAGAAAAACTAACCCATCATGCATCATGCATAACCCATCAAACACTGGTTAATAGCAGTATAAAGCAATGAACAGCAACAGGAAAGGGTGGAAAGGCTTAAATCCATGGTCAGACAAAGTTAGGACATTTCTACAGTATGTAGATTTCTACAGAGCTTGAGTGTATCCACTTTGACCTACCTACATTCCAGCTGGGGTTTAATGTCACAGGGTGGCTGGGTGGGATAATCAAACTCATCCCTAAAATCTAGATGAATACTGAAGGGAACTCCGAAATGGACGGGAGAGGAAATGACACCTAGAACAAAAGATATCGCTTCACCTTCTGTTGGAGCAAACAAAGGAGACAAAAAGTGACAATTTAGCAAGGCATCTGACAGGAGATGATTTACTTCAAGTCAAGTCTGAGACACTACTGTAGTTATTATTCAGATTTTGAATTAGTCTTTTTATTTCCATTTTAATTGTAGTTAAAGTTTTAGTAAATTTGTTCTGTGTTTTTGTCATTTTTATTAGGTATTTGTTTTTATTAAATGTCTATACAGTTTTTTGTTTTTTTTTAATTAAACTAAATGGAAATTAGAAATGCTGCCTTGGCAACTAGCTTAAAATAGCCTGTTTTATTTCAGTTAATTTTATTACTATTAACAAAATTATCAAGATGGACGGTTTACAGTGTATTTTATTACTAGTATCAAAAATGTTTTCTGTAGTTTTAGTTAACTATAAAAACACTGCTTCGTTCTTATAACAGTTGATTTTTTTAAATTTAGCTATTTAAACGAATAGTTGCAATTTTCAAAGCAGTTTTTTTCCATAAAATGACCATTCACAGTGTCACAGTGCAAAGTATTTATAGTAGTTATAGTAGCAAATTAAGTTTTGCTTCTGATGAAATGAGACACTGACACTGTTTTTCATGTTTAATACTGCTGCTTGATTTTAAGCTATATATTGAATAAAGTGCCATGTAAATACACGTGATGTGACTTCAGCGCTCGTGCAAACATGCAAACATTGCTATGAAGAGATGCTTTTTATAGAAAAAAATGCTTGCTGTTTTCTCCATTTTTGTTGTGTTTATTTTGTTACTGAGAGGAAAAGCACGCAGCACATATTTACATATTCGTATAAACGTCGCTTTCATCAGAGTGGGCGGCGTCGGGATGTTCGATAACAGTATACCGCGCTGCTCACGTATTTCGAGCTTCGTTTTGCCCCTAAACGAAGAACGAAATAGAACTTCGTTTTGAGTATATCGGGGCCTTAAGACCAAATGGCTCTAATAATACTACACATGTGATTTCTTCCTCAGCTGTTTACGTTCCCTTAAGACATAACCGACTGCGTTTAGAAAGAAACAAAAAAAAAAAGAGGATATTTTGACATGATTTTACATATTTACACGTTCAAGTGCAAGAACACGCAAAATAGAACTCAACCCTAAGCATTGGCGCGCTGTCTGAGAGACGCAGGTCTCTGTATGGACGCACAGTAAAAAGCACGCCAGTTGTTGCACTTCAATGTTTAAAGTGACAATAAGCCGCAGAAAACACCGGATAATGAACACGGTGTCAGAGAGAAAGCACAGATTGTACCGATGTATCGATACTGCAGAAACGCGATATGTATAGAAATTAGGGGTGTAACGGTTCAAAAAATTTCCGGTTCAGTTCGATACGACACAGGGGTGTCACGGTTCGGTATATTTTCGATACAGCAAAAACAAAGAAATGCCAGACAAATTTCCTTGATTTTTTTTTATTTATTAAAACTAGTATCATATGATCTTAAAAATATTTTAGACTTTGGAAGGCCTTTTGACTTTTGCCGTTTATCTAAGATAATTTTGGAAGCTTTTTTAACATTCGCTCCTTATTTATTTGATTCCACCGTGTTTGCTGATTTTCAGTGTTTTATATTTAAACTTTGTGTAAGTTATTTGTTATTTTATATTAGGCTTATAGCATGGTGTAATTGTATTAGTTTTGTTAATAAATTAAACACTCTATGTTTAATGTAAGTGAGTTTGTCGTACTGTTTTGTTGTTGTCAATTCAATCAATTGACGCAGAAATGGCGCTAGTTGAAAGTGAAAGTAAAATGCGCACAAGCATTTACAAGCTATTTAAAAGCGAGGAAATGAGGGAAAACTCTAACGAACTACCACACCGTCACAACCTTGAGTACATTATATTTCACACACTTTAAGCTCTTTTTTGTCCCCAAATGTAATAGGATTACTCCAACGAATCGTTCGGTTTGTAATGCGTACCGAACCGAAAGCCTCGTACCGAACGGTTCAATACGAATACGTGTATTGTTACACCCCTAATAGAAATATAGAAATTTTTGACAACACTAATATACACAAATGAATATTGTTGAGTTTGTGCTTGCAATTTCAAGCGCACCAGGGAGAAGGACACACTTTTTTTTCTTTTATCTTTTTATTTAAAATTTATTTTTGGCGTTTTGCCTTTTTTATTTTGATAGGACAGTAGCTGGACAGGAAGTGAAGCAACAGTGATGTCAACTCAAACAGAAATGTGATCACAAGTGGTCACAAAACACAGCTGTCACACAATACTTCCAGGTATAAACAGCTCACCTAATCGCTCAGATCACCTAAGGATCTTGGCACCACATAGTAGCATACTACTCTTACTATTTTTTTATCTCATCTTGCTATGGAAGGAACACAAGAGTAGTATGCGGTTCTGAATTCAGCACAGGTGTAAACAGGGCCAGTGTGTTGTGTGTTTTACCTTTAATAGAGAAATTGAGGGTGCAGTTGGGGAGTCTTTTTCCAGCCCATTCGCTGGCAGAGTTGTCACTCAGCATGGTCTGCAGATGCAGTGTGTACTTCCCAAGCTTACTGAGATTCCCTGGAAGTGAACACAATGATTTATTATTCTATGAGAAGCACAGCAAACCCAAAAACTGTATTAGTAAGTCCTCATTTCATGAATGTAAACAGACAAACAAAAAAAATAGTCAAAACATTGATAGCAATACTATCAGTTAAGCAACAGGAAAATTATTTTAATATAATAGTTTTGATGTAATTAATTTGTTTGTCAATAGATTACAGAATAAAACTGATCACAGACACTCTTTTGGAGTATACTGACAATTTGACTAAATTATAACTATTAATTATCAATTATAAACAAACATTTGTATATTAATTATCCATTTTAATTTTAATTTCCCATTTTTTTTTCAATAATAAACAGTATTTTTTGTATGCTGAAGCATTTAAATGAATATATATATATATATATATATATATATATATATATCTCTCTGCATGCAATGCTATAAATAAAGAGGGATTGTGGATTAAATATAAATGTCTACGAATGGACCTGGTATGGATCAAATCCAATATTCATCTTTTTTTTTCTTGATATCTCCATTCATATGCTTTTGTAATCACCAGCATTACTTTGCCCTGTTGATGGGCATAAATATGGCGAATGAATGGAATCGAATATGAACACATGTGATGATTCGCTGATTTTTACCCATGGACTTGAACCAGTATTCCCACTTGGATGAATGAACATTACAAATGTAAAATTACAATATTGATATTTACGGCTGTCTTAATTTCTTCATTCTCAAATGTTAAAGCATCAAACTTTTATTTTGATGGAGAACCACAGGAAGCCCTTAAAGCTGCTCTTTTGTTGATAAGTGCTTCTCATTGCAAGTATGAGGAGATGGTTGGTGTTTCCAAATGCACAATAAAGCAACCCAAACTCAGAGCAGATGCTCTTTAATTCTCTTTACTGTTAAGGTGAAATGCAGAATCCAGCAGCAGGTCTTACTTTGCGAGCTCATCTTCGATTTTCTTCTTAATGGTTGCGGCTGCGGCCAGCCTGTCGATCTTAGAGATGGGAATGATCCTTACCTCATCATACAACTCCTTCGGTTCCTATGAAAACACATCACAGAGACGTATGCCAAAATAAAAAGACGCAATTTTTTATATTATCGTTATCGACCCGATAAGAAAATTTGGCTGATATATTAAAGCCGATTAATAATGGATTATTTCTGAAACACTTCAGATGCAAACTGTTCACCATTAAGGTTTAGAATTGCTTGAAATATGATTGGAATCATTTTGAAAAAGAAAATACAGTTAAGTGCAACATGTGCATGGCAATGGTCTGTCATATTGGCTATATAAAATAATAATGAAAATATAATGATTTTTTTTTTTTATTAAGAAAGTTGACATTTAATGGCCCAATAGGAGTCTAAAATTAATTTTAAAACTAGGCTACTGTACTGGATATGTTTGATTCATGTAAAAGTGCTTGGGACATGGCTATTAATGGTTTGTTTTTGTAATCAGGCTTTTAAAAATTATCAAAAAATTTGGATTTATACCAACATATTGGTTATCGGCTTTCAAATACAAAGAATTATCGGTTATCGGTATCGGCCAAAATGTTCATATCGGTGCATTCCTACATTCAAGCACACTCAGAGGCGGAGGAAAAACATGTGACCACACTGCATCCATACGGAGTAAATGGACGAGTGAGCTGAATCATCCTCACCAGTGCAATCTGGACATATCCTCCTGTGGCGTACACGTCTCCTTCATGCTCTCCGTAGAGCAAGAAATTAACTATAGAGCCAACGAAGACAGGGTTCGTCTTTACTGACTTCACCTAAAAGTGTGAAAGAAAATATTTGAGATGACTAGAATTACAACCTATGATTCATAATTTAATAAATGACCTGATTCATATACACATTTTTATGTTACAGACTTTCTTGACACAACTAAAGATACTAATTACACATTTATACAGTCTGTATGATGCTTTACAACAGCTGGGAAAATACTGTGGAATCACCACACTAAAGCCCCATTCACACCAAGAACGATAACGATATTAGCGTCCACACCAGCGAACAATATCGTCTGTTTATTCTAAGCGCACGCTCGTCTGCTGCTTTAAATTCTCGAGCTCGTTACAGCAGGATGGATTCTGATTGGCTGTCAATTTTTCATCGTTCAGCAGCTGGAGAAAAATCGCTTTGAAAGTGATTGCAACGATATCATTTCTCTTTGTCTTTATCGTTATAGTTGTGGTGTGAACTATGCTATTCTTTAATATTGAGAACGATTTTTAGAACTATATCTTTATCGTTATCATCCTTGGTGTGAACGGGCCTTTACAGAATGTTCAGCTTTATTTTGCTTACAATAATTTTCTTTCAATAATCCACATTCAGTTATTATGCAAAAGTAATCAGTCATTTTCTACGACTCCTCTACACTGGTGTCGTCTATGACTATAATATGAAAATATGAAAACTACTCGATCTCACACATTGTCCTTTCTTATAAGTCTTGCCATCCCACTTAATGGCTTGGAATATAGCCCAGGGTGACTGTTGCCGTTTGGTGGGCACATCTGTACGCGTCATCGAACCCTTAAATCCCTGAAACATCACCTGCAAACAAACACACAAAAAAAACTAGTTGTTGCCATCTCAATGTCTAACCAGAATAACATGATAAAATACTGGAGTGAGTGAATATAATTCAATTTTGTTCTAACTATGGAAGCTTCAAAACTTTGGTATTTGTATTTGCTGGAAACACAGTTACGAAATTGATTGCTGTGGACTGTAGGCCAGTGATAGGCTTATATTCAGTATAATAATAACAATAATAAAAAAACAACACTTCTATTGACTTATAAAGCCAATTTTTTAAAATGTTTAATATTTAACGCTTTCATCTGTCACAATAAATGCAATGCCTTTGATTTGAGGGATTTTCCTCGCCAAATATTTATAAATGCAAAAGCGTGCATTAAGCACTTACAATGCACTGATTGTGCAGTTACACCTGCGTTTGCTGCCCTGGCCTTACACATACCTGCTTGTCGAAGCGCTCGTGACATTCTTTTAACCAGTTAGTAAACTCCCTCTGAATATTCACCCGCAGCTCCTGGATAAAACAGCACAGACTGTGTGAACTGAGCTTTGAATCACGTGCATGTCTTTCAGAGTTCAGGCATGTGTTTCTGTACCTGGCCATTGTGCACTCTGGTAAAAATGGTGATGTTGTCACGGAGTTGAAGCTCCAGGTCCATGAAGGTAAGTTTGTTGGTACTGACTTGGAATCGGTCGTTGGCGAAGAGAACTCCTGAAATCCGGTTATAACACTCCAGCGGCACTGCACCTACTTTCTTAGGCCTTGCACACCACTCGAACCTAACACACACACACACACACACACGTTACAATCCAGTTCAGGCAAAAGTCTTGCTTGCCTTCAGTGCTATTTTTTATATTTGATGTCCTCTTAAAGCAGCATTTCTCACTGTTTTACCCCCAAAAGCCCCATCAATAACTACCTCTTCATCACAGCAATCCAGAAATGTGTTTTAGCACTATATTTAATGTGAATAAAGACATATTTCAGATTCAATTGACAACATTTATGACAATGATGATTACATTAAAATTTTATTTTGACTCTTCCCTCCTTTTCTTTAAAAAAAAGCAAAAACTGAAATTACAGTAAGGCACTTACAGTCAAAGTGAATAGAGCCAAATGTCTGACAATAGTGTCGACACAATGCATAAATGCGTATTATAACATAAAAAAAACAATATTAAAATTAACGCATTTAATGCACCCCACCTACACCTGTAAATCATCTTACATTGATGCGGTCGCTGATGAGCATGATTCAGGACGACTGACTGTCTGTGTGATGAAGCCTATTAGAATGCACTTATATGAGCCTAAAATTCAAGATATGAGGGCAAAAAATTGGCCTGTACTTTTTTTTTTGGTCTTGTATTTATAGCATATGATATATGTTTGAGCAAGAGTGTAGTCACAAGAAGTTAATAACGTTTTATACTGGCAGTTTCAGTTTGATACTGAGAGTATCGTTAATTTTTTTTAATAATTTCCTATTTTAATATTAATATTAACATTAATACCCATTTATTATCATTATTATGCAATTATTTCTAAAGCTACTTTTTGTCAATGCTTTTCTCATCTAACACTATAATGACTTAATCTATCAGGCGGTAATTTCTAAGCCAAAATGTATGTTTGATTAATTAGATTAATTAATCAGCATATCATGTAATTAATTAGATTAAAAACTTGAATGACTTGACAGCCCTACACACATGTAATTATCAGGCAAATGAATATTCTGACCATATATTTGTTCCAAGCACATTGGACTAATTCCAAACCACATCAATCTTAATAATTAGTATTAAGGTTGTATAATCATATATAGGTGATATGTAATTGTTTTGTTGATGAAGCTCCTTATATTCAGATGTGAATAATTATTAGGTTTTCTATATGTTTTTTCTACAGGTAAAATACGCCAGAAATTGAACTGACACTGAAAAGTAAAAAATTATGAAACGCTTATAAGAAGGATTCAAGGAACTGAAATTTTTTTTTTATTAAAACATAACCATCGAACAATGAAATGCTCACTGCATCAGCGAAGTTGCAAAAAACAGGTTGAGAAGAGAAGACATATCAACTGAAAAGGATGTTCAGAATTAAGCAGACATTTACTCTGAGACAGTGGTGTAGGGAATGAGCCGCCCATTCCAGAAGCACTCAAAGACCGGACGTTTGCCCCGAGCTTCAGAGTTCAGAATTACACAGTCTTCATCCTCATCCTCTGAAGGACCTAAAATACAAACACACAGACCAACATAGAAAAGATATCTAGGAATGCACACTATTTAAGCTAGTATAATCATCTATTATCAGAGCATCTCTTTCGACACTGCCATCAGTGTGCAACGCCCAATTTATGATTTACAATACCTAATGCATATGGATCCACTGGGTATGTTTCCTGATCATAGAGGAACGGGTGATAACGGATCAATCCTTCCACAAAGGAGTCTCTAGCGCCGGTGGCTTTAAACTCAAAAGTGGAAAAACTGGAGTTGATATACAGAGTCTGCATGTCATTATCCACCTCCCTCAGATTCATCATACACGGGATTCGAGGAGAGCGCTCCACCAAACTGATCTGAGAAATAAGAGAGAAAGAGCTTCAGAGAAAAACAAGGACTCTAAAGCACTCAGAAACTGAATGATCAATGCATTTAGAGCCACAAACACATACACATCTGTACCTGAATGTCAATGTTGGAGACGTGGTCATTTTTTCTCGTTTCCCTCTGGTCGTTTCCATGAACTCCGTGTATATAGTAATGGTAAGTATGTCTGAAATAAAACAAATGGCATTCAGTGGCCCAAGGCTGGCCTTAAAGGACCAGTTCACCCAAAAAATGAAAATGAACTCACCCTTGAGCCATGCAAGATGTAGATGAGTTTGTTTCTTCATCAGATTTGGAGAAATGTAGCATTGCATCAGTGTCTCAGCAATGGATGCTCTGCAGTGAATGGGTGCCGTCAGAACGAGAGTCCAAACAGCTGATAAAAACATCACAATAATCCACAAGCAATCCACACCACTCCAGTCCATCAGTTAATGTCTTGTGAAGAGAAAAGCTGCGTGTTTGTGGGAAACAAATCCATCATTAAGATGTTGGATTTGTTTCTCAAACTTCAAATCATAACTTTTGGCTAAAATATGACTCCATAATCCATATTCACACTTCCTTCAGTGAAAAAAAGTCGCCTCGTCTGAATCAGGAGAGAAATCTGCACAGATCAAGCACCATTTACAAGTTAAAACAGCTCTAAACAAATATGTGGGTGGATTTTGAAGTCAGAGATAACAGGGGACGGACTTTTCCACTGCAGAAAGCAATATTATGGACTATAGTTTAAAAGTAAAACTTCGTCATGATGAATATATTACAAACACACAGCTTTTCTCTTCACAAAATGTTAACTGATGGACTGGATTGGTGTGGATTACTTGTGGATTATTGTGATGTTTTTATCAGCTGTTTGGACTCTCATTCTGACGGCACCCATTCACTGCAGAGCATCCATTGCTGAGACACTGATGCAATGCTACATTTCTCCAAATCTGATGAAGAAACAAACTCATCTACATCTTGGATGCAGGGATAAAAAGAATTAGCTCATAACAGGTCTAGCTGTGCTCATTGCTGTGTGAAGCAAACAATGACTAACCTATTAAAATAAACTAAAACAACTAAAAATTAAGACTTCTTATTTTAATTCACCCCTTAAGAAATGTTTTTTTTGTTTTTGTTTTTTTCTTTGAAGAACCAGGATTCCCAATGTCTTGGAAAACCGAGATATATGTTTGCTTTCTACACCAGAAAAAGTCATGGAAATTAATAAAATCATAAAACTCCATGTCCATTATTTTATAACATACATAGTTTTCTAATTATGCCAAGCTCTAAAATGTTTTATTCAGCAGCAATTGCGAATTAAAAATTATTTCAAATATCCTTATCCAGTAACATTACGATAAAATTATTTATTTGGATAAATCACCTGCTAAATGCATAAATGAAATATAAACTGTAACTCTAATATATGAAATTTAGTTTTAAACTTTAGAATTATTTTAGTAATTTTTTATTTACAGATCCTGCCAAAATATGAAATATGAAAACAAAACTAAGGTTAGGGGGGCTTTAAATATCATTGCGAACAATGCGAGACAAAAAGGTTAACCACCATTTCCTAACAGATAAAATTCTACTCCTATTAATATAACTCTTAACATTTTAAGCAACAACTCTCGTGCAAAAACTAGAAAAAAATAAATAAATATAACAATACGCTGATCTAAGGGAGGAGTTCATGTATGTGCATTTGAGACGTACGCCAACTCTCTGGTCCACAGATTGAAATTGTGTTTCAGGTAAGTGACGTGTTCCTGTTGGACTCCAGTGATGATAACTGCAGTAAAACTCTCCTTTTCTTTTTCTTCCATCACAATGGACTGCAGAAACTGCTCCTCGCCTTCACTCACATGCGAGCAATCGGCAGGCTGCAATTGAAAACACGAAAAAGGGTTTAAGCATTAAAAAAATAAGTGTAATACTGCTTTAAATTGTTGTTGTTTTCCCCCCAAAAAATAAAAAGTTTTCTGTTTGATTTAATTGCAATTTTGTTTTTGTTTTTCCGAGCAAAAAAATAAATATCATACATTTTTCCCTGATTTAGAGAAGAGAGAGACCCACTAAAATGTCATTCAGTGTAACAGTCTTGTCAGGCATATTTACAACAAAAATCAATTTATGGCATATTAAAAGACTAATTACTTTCACCCCAAATACTAATTAGTTGTAATTTTACTTTTTTTTTTTTATTTGCCACTATCTTAGGTTTTGCCCGTTTGGCAGCAAGAATTTTTTACTCATTTAAAACATAATCAAATTTAATATGCTCCCTTATTCTTTTATATATTTTAATATGTACGCGTCAGAATAAGCATGTTTGAATTTTTACATAAATATTGTGTTACACTGAATGACAATGTAACATTATTTCAACCAAAAATTTCACATTTTATTCTCCAAAAACTTATTTGAAACCTTAAAAATTTACACTTTACTTACATTTAATGTGCTTTCTATAGACATAAAACCACTTTTGTAAATTTCTTTTGATGCGGACATCTTAACGTCTTTGACCCATATACATTTAAAAATAAAAACCAGGGTCCAACAAAGCCATGAGATGACTTGAATTTCCCTCACCTTCCTGTTTCTAATGAAGCCAGTGTAAATGTCTTCCCTGTTCATCTCCTTGCGCTCAAAGTCTTCTTTAGACATGACAAATTCATGAACATCTGGCGAGCCTGCAGGCTTACTGATCATCTGAAACACACATTGGATCAAAAGCATAGTTTACACAAAATTAAATGTGATAACACTGTGAACTGTCAATATATGGAAAGAGCTGAGTGAGTAAATAACGATAAATGACCGTCCATGCAAACATTTACTTGCTAAAAAAGCAGAAACTATCAATCAGACAACAGAGGGCATGCAGTAGAGTTGTAGAAGTTGTAGTTGATCATGTTGATCATTTAAAAGCCTTAGAGGCTTTATAGGGTTAATTTGTCATTGCTCAAGGGACACTTCTGTGAACACTTCCCTGTGTTAAAGGGTTAGTTCATCTTATAATAAATTCTGTCATCATTTACTCACACTCAAGTTACTCCAAACTCATTTTGTTCTTATCAAATTAAGATCTTTTTAATATTTTCTAATAGGGCTGGGCGACATTGCCAAAAATATTACCACAGTATTTTTTCCATATCATACGATATCGATATTTATCGCGATATTCATTTACCGTTAATGGGGAAGGAAATACCTTCCACATTTTTGTTAGATCTTGAGAATGAATGTAAACATAATTTTGTTTGTTCACAATTAAACTCCACAGAGTAAGATAACTTTTATTTTAGGGCCCCATGAAATGCATTTTATTTTCCCCTAAGTTCTGTTTTCCATTTAATTTTTTCTAGATTTTTCTGTGTTTTATGATTCAATACTAATTTATCATAAAAAAATGGTGTCTAATTAAATGAATTAATAAAACGATCAGTTTGATCATTCTTTTAAAATGTAATAAAATGAAATTAATTTAAAACAAAACCTTGCATTTTATTGTCAAGCAAGATGCTGCACAACAGAACTGTATAAATTAACGGAAAAAAATTGCTTGGTTATATGATATTTCTTAAAAATAATAATATTTGAGAATTATATTTTAGTATACAATAGTAAAATATTTCTGTCATAATTTCTTCAAGTTAAACGGGGCTTTTATTTTGACAAGTTGTCGTAAAGGTCTTTCAGTTTTACTTTCAGTTTTCAGAAGAAACAGTCAATTTTATAAATTGTCTTATGTAGTATGATGCTACAGTGTGAATGGTCTCGTAACACGCGTTTTCCTTGATGCCTCGCCAGAGCCAATCACTGATTTAAGCTGAATGCTTACTGGCTCACTGACGTTGACGAGATTAACCCCTTAAAGTGCTCTGCCTGAAACGCCGCTCTGTATGTGCACACTTTGAGCGTGTGTGTGCGAGCGCCAAACTGACTTCTTCATGTGCATGAATGGTTTAAAATGCTTGAATGTTTAAATTGGTAAGACTTAGAAACATGTGTAAATTATAAACTACGATCTGTTTCACCCCTACAAGCGAGTGAACAACGCGAATCAAGGAAGGGATTTTATATCA